TACGAGGCACTTGGTTTCTTTCTCTAGCACAATAATAATGACTGAATGGAAACTCATTATAGCTATATTTAAAAAAAAAAACCAAAAACAAACAAACAGGAAAATCCCATTTGGGTCTCATGAAAATATTTAAGTTATTTCCAAGTCTCTGTGGATATAAGTCCATAGGTTATCTGCAAAGACCCCATACATTATTTTACAGGGAACAGCTAAACAAATTGGCTTCAACAGAAATACAAATAAATGGATTAAAAACTGGCTATCTAACCGTATACAGAGAGAAATCGTAATTGGTAGTCCGTCTAGTTGGGGAGAGGTTTCCAGTTGGGTCCCACAAGGATCGATATTGGGTCCCATTTTGTTTAATATCTTTATAAAAAATCTGGAAAACAAAGTAGAGAATGTGCTAATTAAGTCGACTGGTGCCAGTAGATGAGGATTTGTGGTTAAAGTAAATTGGATATTGATAAATGTTACTGGTCTTTAGAAAGACTGGTGCTAACAGAGAGTAGGATTTTGAATTACCTGTATTTTTTTAATATATCATTAAAAAAAACCCACCTAATTCCAAGCACTAGAAATGAATAGATTTAAATGGTTTTAGTGGCTTTGCATAACAAAAAAATTAGGCACAACGGGTAAAGGCAACACAGAGACTGACAACACCTATAAGTGCAGAATAAAGAATGTTCCCCAAATTGAGATCTTTTTGGCTTTATTTGGAAAACTGGTGGTTATGAGTCCCTCAAAGCAATTAAGATATTGGAGCTTTTCAGATATGTATGTAGGAGTCAAGGTGGTGAAACGGCAGGAGCAACTAAATTCTCAAATATACATACATTTGGTAATTGGCAACAAAATAAACAATGAACAACATAAAGCTTAAAGGAAGAAAGGAGAGTTGAAAACTTGAAGGCATAAGCAAGAAAAGGAAGTGAAGTTAATCAAGGACAAATTATATAAGGAAACACACACACACACACACACACACACACACAAATAGAAGAATGCTAGGGAAAACAGGAAGGGCTCTCCTAACACTAGGGTAGAGATTATATATAAGAGATTATAAATCTCATACACACACACACACACACACACACACACACTCATAATTAAACAGCTCTGGAAGACACTTGGAAAAAATATTAAGTAGACTTCTTTTTGGTTTGAGGTTCATTTAAAATTCTTAATATTTTAGAACCTAATTTGTTACATGAACACAATGAAAGTGATATTGTTTGTTGGCCATGGACTCTTATTTGTAAACAAATTTTGCTTTTTAGGTGAAGTTAACTGAATTGAATATATGGACTAATGTGGAATCAGCTTTTAAATTTTATATCATTTTTGTACTTCCTAGCATAGCAGAATGTATGCCAGATAGACTGGAAAAGCCAGATTCTCAGAAATTTTATTAATTTTGTTATGCAACGTTGGATATTTTATTCTCCTTCAAACCATAAGTGACTCTTAATCTCACAAGAGCCTTAGTTTTTGCATCAATTGCATGACAAGATAAGAATTGTTTTAAGAGCTGCATATATTCTTGTTAAATTAAAAAGGTACAGGAAACCACTACAGAGAAGAGATTGGAAAAATGTGGAAGTATGTCCTTGATTAACAGTTGGCTCCCACCTGGCTAGGCTTCCCATATTCATCCCTCCCTGACCTCAGGACAGCGCACAGTTTAAAAAATCACTTGAGATGATCTGACAAACTGTCTGCGTCTCTAGGAAACCATCAAGGGAAGCTGTAAAGGTCAATCCCTTTTCTAGTGACTGATTTTTCCAGAGCATCCAACAATACTTAACTGATTATTTGTGCCCCAGCTTTAGGGAAAAAAAAAAAAAAGAAAGAAATAAATTAGAATTACAGTTGAAAAGAAGGGACATTCTTGATAAGAAATGGAGTGGCATTATTCATGATGCCAACACAAAAGAAAAGTGATGTGCAATCAGAGCCCCAAGTAGATCTCTAATCCTTCATGCTGGCTTAAAAAAAAAAAAAAAATATATATATATATATATATATTCCATATATTCATATATATATATATATATATATATATGAGTATGGAATGTGAGATGGTCACTGTTTTGTTTTAATTAAATCAAGATGGTTCTAAGTATTCTGGCCTAAAAAATGATAAAGTTTATAGTTGGTTTGCTATAGATTTTATAGCTAATATGTGTTGAAAATGATTTCCTTGCATTGACTTTAAAACTTCTAACATGAAACATTCCTCTGTAGATAGTACTCTCTTTCAGGAATGGGACTGCTCCTTATATACTAGATATTTACTCTGTAAAATACACAAACAAGCATTGGCTATATGTCTGGAGACTGTAAATTTTACTTTAAAAAGTAATAATTCCTATTATTTACAATATTTTAATATTTTATTACTATTTATCACTTACAGAGTGTTTGCCATATATTGAGGACTATGTTATCCTCTCTACATATTATCATGAACAATCTCCATAATAACTTATGGAGAGGAATTAACCCCATTTTTACGGATAAGGAAACTGAAGGGTCAGAGAGGCTTGCTTGCTTATTTGTTTGTTTAGTATGTATAGTCACACAACTGTAAATGGAGGGTAAATGCTGGAACTGACTACAAAATACTTGTTCAGAACCATTGTGCTAATTATAACTTCTGATGTCTTGACATTACACATCTTGATTGAAGAAAGTGGAGAAAACACTTGCATCAGGACAAGCATCTTATATTTTTCTGGGCCTCAGTTTCCTATGCTTGACACTACAGGATTGGACTACAGCAGGCTTGTTTAACATCAGCATCATCGACATTTGGGGCTGGATAGTTATTTGGTAGGAGGAGGCTGTTCAATGCACAGAGGGATGTCTGGAGCATCCTTGGTCTCTATTCTCTAGATACTGGGAGCAATTCCCTCCTCCCAGTTTTGACGATCCAAAATATCTGCACACATGGCCAAAGATGCTCTGGGGGGAAAAAAAAAATCACCTGTTTTTTGAGAACCACTGTACTAGAAGAGCTCTGATATCTTTTTGTCCTCTCATATTCTATGCTCGGAATTGTGGGTTCAACTTCATCTAAGAGGATGGGCTTTTCACCACTGTGGGGTATTTGTTCAGTGAACCATTCTCTATCTCGGTCTCAGTACATTGAATTTAAACTCTGAAGCTCTCCAGGTTCAGTTTGCTATAAAACTGCCACTCTCTGGCTTTTAAATTCATCATTTAAATGCAAATTGGTATAAAAAAACAGGGTAGATGAAAGTGAAAAGAGATCAGATGTTATCTTATTAAGTCAGCATTTCATTAGGCAATTGATTTAGACTCGTTTCATAATGCAGTCCTATGAGATAGTTTTATTTATTTATTTAACTAATGCTACTATATCAGAAAAATCATAGAATGGATTTATAAAGTATTCTTTCATTTGACAGCTTGAGAGAACCATAATGCTAGGTTGGAACCTATTGACAGATTCTAATAAGTGAAAACTCAGGCACTGTAAAGAAATTGACAATTTTCTAGACCCATGGTTCATTAACTTTCAAGGGTCATACTTAAAATATGCATTATTAAAAATATCATCTTCCAGAGAAGGAGTGTCTTCTCTTAGAGAATAGCCCCCTGTCCCCCAAAAATGAGACCTATGGATATGTAAAAACAGTGAGTTAGAAGGTTTCATTGGGTTTGTTCTAAATAAAATTCAACTGTAGAGATTATTTATGGTGTACTATCCTTGGAAATCACTTGAAGATAGAAATATTAAAATGTCAATTAAATAATGATTGATATGGTTAATAATTCTAGATGGTTTAAAAGTATTATTACTTTCCTGGTTTCATCACAGTGAGCTATTTATTAAATTTAACACTATGCACTACTTTATAAACACTATTTACAGCAGATATTAAAATAGACCTTTTTAAATCTATTTTGAAGGATTTAAATTTGGACTATGGGAAAACACATATATAAATATTCTGTTTAGTACAGAGAGTTTGATAGAGGAAGCCAGGTGAAGTCACATTTGGGTAGTAAAAAGGGATGGATCCACTGGGACTGATGTCAAAAACCTCAAAATGGAGATTCTAAATCTTGGCTGCAAATTAGAATGACATTTGAAGAATTTTTTAAAATTATGATGCCCAGCCATATTCTAGTACATTCAAATAAGAATATCTGGGAAAGGAATCAGGCTTCAGTATTTGTTAATGCTCTCACAGTCAGTCAGTTTGGCAACCAAGGTTGAGAACCACTACCTTAAAGACTAAACAGGGTTTACAACTGCATGGAAATTGTTCTTTGACTAGGCGTAACTTAAGCAAGTTGGCAGTCTCCTACAGTCATGTGCTTCAGCGATCTTAAGTGGTACATGTGCAAGGCATTAAGTGATTATCTGTCACTGAGGGAGAAAATTATTCTTTCTCCCCTTCACTTATCTTTCTATCCTCTGATGACTTCAAAGAGAAAAGACTTCATTTGTTGCTGGTGGCTCTTTAATACATCTCTGTACTTGTTTATCTCCCTTTTAAATCAAAGAATAGGCTCAGGCCCAGGGTCTTCATCTAGTATAGCCTAGAATTTAATAACATAGTTTCACATTTCTCACTTAAGATTATCTTCCAGCAAGTAATACTGATTTAAGTGATATAAAATTTCCTTTGTTGGTTATTTAAAGGGAGCAAATGTAAGTAAATATAAAATAAATAATAGTACACATTATACTCATATATGGAAAAAGTCACAAGGATAGTTCTCAGAAGACTATGCTTTGGGCAACCCTACTGTTAACATAAGGGGTATCCAAAGGTTGTATCATGAGTTTGGGCCATAATTGTGCCTCCACCACTAATTAACTTTATGATTTTGGAAAAACTACCCATTCTCTTCTCTGGGCCTTGCTTTCCTCATTCATTAAACAAGGCCATTAACCTATATTGCTGGCGTTCTTCTATAAGTTTAGGAAGCAAGGAGGGCTTGCCCTCTGAATTTACCTTGTTGACATCCAGGCGCATCTTCTCATTGTTGGCACTGGCAGCTTTCTCAGCTGCTTTCTTTTGGCGTTGGGGTCCCCTCCCAAAAAAGATGTAGTTGACCAAAGCATATTCCAGAAGGGCCATGAAAACAAAGACAAAGCACCCCATCAGGTACATGTCAATGGCCTTCACATAGGGGATTTTAGGGAGCGTCTCCCGCAGGTGGGTATTGATCGTGGTCATTGTAAGGACAGTTGTAATTCCTGAAAAAAAAATGACAGAGTTAGAAGAATGACATCCCTGCTTCCTTGCTGTTTTCATCATAGTTGCAAAGGTTTATTGTACTCTTTCATTCATTCATATAATAGTTGCAAAGGTTTATTGTACTCGTTCATTCATTCATATATGCCACAAAATACTTACTGGGTACTGATTACATACCTGTGCTGTGATAGACCCTGGAGGCACATTTAAATCATGAATTTATAGTAAAATTAATCACTTGGAAACTTTTCCTTTATTTATATTTTTATATTTATAGTTATATATCTAGTGAGGGGCTAGAGATGTGAATTAGATGCCATGGCAGACGTCTGTATAGGGTGAATGTTGAGGATATGGAGAAGACCCTAGGTGAGCTTCATGATGCAGCAGGAGAGGTCAGGAGATGGAGACTCTGGAGCTGAGTTCTGAAGGATGAGTGGGAGATACCCAAGTGATCAAGGATTTAGAGCTCAAGGTGTGGTAGAGAGAGATTTTATAAAGGTATGTTTTATGTGTGGAGGAGAAAGAATATGGCCCATCAAAACCATTTCAAGGAAGTGAATGGGGTACATTATAGGATATGACAGGAAGCATGGTGAGGAGAGTGAAGATTAAGTAATGCTGCATAATGGAGAGCCATATATACAGAGCCTCACTGGGGAGTCTGAACTTAAAACCAAAGGTGAGGTGGGGCCATTGACCAGATTCAAGCAGGGAAGCAAGGGACAGATTGTGTTTAGGACAGTCACTCTGGTACTCATGTGGAGGATAGAAGGAAAGCATACAAGACAGGAATAAAGAATACCAGCTATTAGTTTTTCAGAATCATCTAAGTGATACAGAGAAAATAAATTAAAACAATCACAATACTACTGAAATCAGTGAATGCATTATATAGCTAATACAGACAAATGACTATAAAAACATCAAAGCTGGAAATGATAGGTAACAGAGAGGCCGGTGTCTAGCCCTCGTATTTCTGGATTGGGCAGCTAGGCATGTAATGCACAATAAACAGTATAGAAGCATTTTAAGATTATGGGACATGGCATACTGGGTCAGGTTATAACTGTTCATTCCACTGAGTGGTCATCACCAAGAGTGAAGAGTAGTTTCCCTCTACAATTGGAAGGTATGCTGGGTAAAAGCACTGGGAGTCCAAAGTCCTGAGTATGGCAAGGTCCAGTTTTGTAGCAAAATAATGATGTAAAAATAGAGCCCAGAGATCAAGATCACACAGATGGGAATTGTATGATCAACATTTTAATAGGGGTCTTTCTGACTCAGAAAGCTGAGTTAAATTTCATGTCTATGATTTGTTGGAAGTGTAAGTTTTCTGATTTAATTTTGTTGCTCTAAAAAGATACCAATTTTTGTATTGTTTTTCTACATGCTCATAAAACAGCTATAGAAAAAATAAATTTGCCCATCTAATTCTGAGCAGGGCCAGAAAAACTCTGTTCTTGCTTTAGGTGTTTTATAATTTTTGTATCTTTTTTATAATATCAGTCATTTTGAACACTTCCCAGTTTCATTTATCTTTTCATTATTTCAACTGCAGGGTACCCTGTTCAACATGTATGTCATAAAACTGACAGTGCTGATTTTGTCTTTTATTTCAATCTAATTTTAAGATATTTCTGACCAAGTAAAAAATTACATCAAAAGACATTTTACAAATTTCTTTTAAAAAGAGAATAATTTATTATTCCTGTAATAAACATAAAAATGACATCAGACTTTTCACTTTGGAATAAGAGCATATTTACAAATTCCATTCATTACTTTATTCAGCAAATATTTACTGAACACCATTCATTGTATGAGATATCACAGGTATAATGGAAGCAAAATTAGATATGGACCTTTCTTCAATGTATCTTTCAATACCATGAAGAAAAAGGACATCGCAAACCAAATAAATATAAATTATAACTGCACTGGTCTATAAAAGGAAGTTCTCTAGTATTTAAGAGAATATATCACAGGGGACCACACCTAGTCCAGGAGATCATTACTTCTCCCTTCTGTTCTTGAATCACCACAATCTAATCTTAACAGAGCAGCCAGCTTTATCCCTTTCAACCTGAAATCAAATCATGTCATGTCTTCACTCATTGACTCTCTAATTTCATTCCGAATAAAAGCAAAACTTTCATCACGGCCCTGGAACTGCTTCGTAATCTTGCAGTTCCCTCTCTCCAACATTATCTTGACCCCTGAACTCTCTCTTGCTTTCACGTCACTGGCCACCTCGCTGACATCCTTGGCACTTTCCTACCTCAGGTCATTTGTAGTCGGCCAGAATATTCCCATCTAGACATTTAAGTGAGTTTGTCTTCTTGAAGTCTTAGTTCCATTGATAATTTCTGAATGAATTCTACAATGATTATTGTAAACTGCACCACCTGGCATCTCCAACCCTTACCTTGTGTATCTCCCTCTATAGACTTACTGTATTGTAGAGCTCACACATTATAAGCAAAATAAATTTATTGTCTTTGTACTGTTACCGTATCTTCCAGAAGAGCACTGCTTTATCTCGAGTGTCTAGTATGCTTGGCACATAGTAGGTGTTCAACAAATATTTGTGGAATGAATAAATGAATGACTTCTCTAAAGAAGTGATGATTGGATTGGGATATCACAGTGGAGGAGTTAACAGCCCAACATTTTAAAGGGCTTAGTCAGAAATTAAAATAATAAAAGTTGTGTAAAAGATCATAATTTACTATATCTGGAGTTAGTAACATAAAAAATGTTCATGAAATATAATTTATTCTCTTCCTCTGGTGTTATAAGGGGGAAAAAAAGCAAGTATAAGATAAGCGATGCTGTGAATAATTTCCCAGCAATCTTACTTTGTTGTCTTCTGTCCTCTACCATGCTACTCCAAAATCTTAATAAGACTTTAGAAGTCTTTTTAGTTATCTGATAGTTACATAATACATTTCCTTGTCTTCAGCTCAGAGAGTTTAAAAAAAAAAAAAAGATGGAAGGGAGCTCTTTCTACGTAAGGAAGCACCAATGCAAATTGGACAATTATCAGGTGGTATTACATGAACTATGCTTCAATAAAAATATCAAATTGACGGGAATAATTTCATTACTTACTGCTATATGGTTAACTAAATTTGACATGAAAGAGTTTTAATTTATATTTAATTGATTTAATGCTGAATCAGATAACCCAAAGTCTCATAGCCAAATTCTTGTAATGTGCACAGTCCAGTCTTGTCACGCATCATAAATACCAGGGTAAGGAAAGGATGTGAGTGGACATGCATGCACATACACACACACAAGCACACACATGTAGACACACAGAGTCAAGCTCCATAAGCAGTTAGAAAATGGCCTACCTAATGCCACTCTTGCAGCTGATGCATCATAATTAATCCAGAAGGACACCCAGGAGAGGATAGTGATCAGGATGGAAGGCATGTATGTTTGCAGAATAAAGTAACCAATGTTTCTCTTAAGCTTAAAGGCTGAGGGACAACCTGGGATAGGAACCTAAAAGGCAATTTTAGAACGTCATCATTATCAATCAATATTTATAGATACTTTCCCTTTAAGGCCCATAAGTAGTTTGTATATCTTTCTTAAATTCAATCTTAGCTCCTGAGGGACAACCTGGGATAGGAACCTAAAAGGCAATTTTAGAACGTCATCATTATCAATCAATATTTATAGATACTTTCCCTTTAAGGCCCATAAGTAGTTTGTATATTTTTCTTAAATTCAATCTTAGCTCCTGGTGAAGGGCACTTTATCCTGCAAAAGTAGTCTGAGAACACTGGGCTTTTAATTAGCAAGAGTCACTCGGTGTTGAGTACACCCACACTCCTGAGTAATTAAAAGAATTCCAGCTCTTCCCTGCTCAGCCTCCAGCACTGGATCAAAGACACTCATTCTCTACAACTATGAAGACAAAATAGTTTGGTACAGCCCCTTTGTTCCCCCTCAGCTGTTTCTCAACAAGCCTATCCTGTAAGATTTTTTGGTTTTGTATGTAAGAATAAGGCTGCAAAGTCTGATCATATTTTAGTAATCTCTTCCCAAGCCCCAGAATTCACTGTAATTCTGTGATCAATGACACAGCTTCAGGTATACAGCAACTCCCTAAAGTTCTGTGAAGGTTTTCACATGTATGGATCACACTTGTTTCTAATTCCATTGATTCCACCGGAGTTCTAAAGGGATTTCTGACCCATCGAACAGTGGAGAATCACTGGTTTCAAAGGGTATTTGTAGGAGACGAAACTAAAGGATCAGATTCCTGTAGCTAGGTCCTTCTATTGTGATGATCTGGGGAATTTCTCTTTAAAAAAGATATGTAGGGGCGCCTGGGTGGCTCAGTGGGTTGGGCCTCTGCCTTGGGCTTAGGTCGTGGTCTCAGGGTTCTGGGATCGAGCCCCTGCATCGGGCTCTCTGCTTGGTGGGGAGCCTGCTTCCTCCTCTCTCTGCCTGCCTCTCTGCCTACTTGTGATCACTCTGTGACAAATAGTTAAATAAAATCTTTTAAAAAATAAAAAAATTTAAAACATAGTCTTAGAATATAAAAAGTCACATTGATAAATAGTGTGTGAGGGGAGTGATATTCTTACTAATATTGAAAGAAAGCCTGTCTAGCCATCTTGGGCTCTAGTAAGTGTCATAATACTGAAGTAAGAATATTTCAAGTGTGAATTCATTTCTACAGTATTAGGGATCCAGAGGACCTCAAATTTAGGAAAAGTTTCTGTTGTTTATTTTTTAAAGCTAGAGGCTTCGTATTTTTTTTTTTTTTAAAGATTTTATTTATTTATTTGTCAGAGAGAGAGAGCGAGCACAGGCAGACAGAGTGGCAGGCAGAGGCAGAGGGAGAAGCAGGCCTGAGGGACAACCTGGGATAGGAACCTAAAAGGCAATTTTAGAACGTCATCATTATCAATCAATATTTATAGATACTTTCCCTTTAAGGCCCATAAGTAGTTTGTATATCTTTCTTAAATTCAATCTTAGCTCCTGAGGGACAACCTGGGATAGGAACCTAAAAGGCAATTTTAGAACGTCATCATTATCAATCAATATTTATAGATACTTTCCCTTTAAGGCCCATAAGTAGTTTGTATATTTTTCTTAAATTCAATCTTAGCTCCTGGTGAAGGGCACTTTATCCTGCAAAAGTAGTCTGAGAACACTGGGCTTTTAATTAGCAAGAGTCACTCGGTGTTGAGTACACCCACACTCCTGAGTAATTAAAAGAATTCCAGCTCTTCCCTGCTCAGCCTCCAGCACTGGATCAAAGACACTCATTCTCTACAACTATGAAGACAAAATAGTTTGGTACAGCCCCTTTGTTCCCCCTCAGCTGTTTCTCAACAAGCCTATCCTGTAAGATTTTTTGGTTTTGTATGTAAGAATAAGGCTGCAAAGTCTGATCATATTTTAGTAATCTCTTCCCAAGCCCCAGAATTCACTGTAATTCTGTGATCAATGACACAGCTTCAGGTATACAGCAACTCCCTAAAGTTCTGTGAAGGTTTTCACATGTATGGATCACACTTGTTTCTAATTCCATTGATTCCACCGGAGTTCTAAAGGGATTTCTGACCCATCGAACAGTGGAGAATCACTGGTTTCAAAGGGTATTTGTAGGAGACGAAACTAAAGGATCAGATTCCTGTAGCTAGGTCCTTCTATTGTGATGATCTGGGGAATTTCTCTTTAAAAAAGATATGTAGGGGCGCCTGGGTGGCTCAGTGGGTTGGGCCTCTGCCTTGGGCTTAGGTCGTGGTCTCAGGGTTCTGGGATCGAGCCCCTGCATCGGGCTCTCTGCTTGGTGGGGAGCCTGCTTCCTCCTCTCTCTGCCTGCCTCTCTGCCTACTTGTGATCACTCTGTGACAAATAGTTAAATAAAATCTTTTAAAAAATAAAAAAATTTAAAACATAGTCTTAGAATATAAAAAGTCACATTGATAAATAGTGTGTGAGGGGAGTGATATTCTTACTAATATTGAAAGAAAGCCTGTCTAGCCATCTTGGGCTCTAGTAAGTGTCATAATACTGAAGTAAGAATATTTCAAGTGTGAATTCATTTCTACAGTATTAGGGATCCAGAGGACCTCAAATTTAGGAAAAGTTTCTGTTGTTTATTTTTTAAAGCTAGAGGCTTCGTATTTTTTTTTTTTTTAAAGATTTTATTTATTTATTTGTCAGAGAGAGAGAGCGAGCACAGGCAGACAGAGTGGCAGGCAGAGGCAGAGGGAGAAGCAGGCTCCCCACAGAACAAGGAGCCCGATGTGGGACTCGATCCCAGGACGCTGGGATCATGACCTGAGCCGAAGGCAGCTGCTTAACCAACTGAGCCACCCAGGCGTCCCTCGTATTTTTTTTTTTTTTAAGATTTTATTTATCTATTTGACAGACAGAGATCACAAGTAGGCAGAGAGGCAGGCAGAGAGAGGAGGAAGCAGGCTTCCCACTGAGCAGAGAGCCCGATGCGGGGCTCGATCTCAGGACCCTGGGATCATGACCTGAGCCAAAGGCAGAGGCTTTAACCCACTGAGCCACCCAGGCGCCCCTAGAGGCTTCGTATTCTTACGAAGTCGTACAACTCTTACTTGAAGTAGTTTCCAGGAAAGGAAGTGCCTGAGTCCTTAAAGGATTAAAATATATAGTTACAATATATAGTTATTTCTGTGCCTGGGGAAATCATAAAAAGAAATATTTGTGTGGGTTTATTGTTTTTTTTTTTTTCCCTCTTAATGAGTATGTAGCAAAGTATTACCTTCCTGAGCTTTTTTTTGTTGTTAAAATTTTGTGCTGATGGAACCAAATTTGATAACCTAAAGCCTCGATGCTGGAAGAGGGAACAATGGAAAAGCATCAGGATAATCTCAACAGCTGGAAGGGCTTTTAGCTCCAAAACAAGAGGTAAGGTTACATAAAGAAATTCTTAACCTTTGAGGAAAATGTGGAATTCTCTTCCTGACTTGACTCTTCCCAGTATTTTTCAAATGATTATGAGGAGTACTGTAGAATGCATAAAATTGGGGAAACAACTCTGACTTGGGTCTTTATTTCTCCTTCTGTGTTCTGTTTCTAACCATTAGTCCATTCTTGGTAGGTGAGAGGAGTAGAACTAACCCCCTCAGCTTTGTTGGGAGTGGCTCCTGGGAAAAAACTGCGTGGGTCCCAAATGAGCAATGAGCTTGATGGGGTTCTGAAAGTTTGCAGCAGATCTAAATCTTCTAGTCATCATCTTTCCCTGGGACTCAGTTGCAAATTATGTGGAAGCCCCTTTTCCCTTAACCCTCTTCCCTGATACAAACCTGTGGAAAAAACAACCTTCTTGGTGATAAGTTTGTAATCCACAATAGAGAACTGTGGAAGTTCAATCTTTGTTACTCCTGTTACTGCGTTATCATCCCCACGCCAGTAAAACTCAATGTCATCTGTGGTATATCCATCTGTAAAAGAAATCACACACATACACACACATATACAGATACACAAAACAAACAAAACAAAACAGAAAAAAATACTTGTTTAAAAGATGAACTATGTTAATGATAACAGCCACAGCTAAAGGCTACTCTATTGGGTATCTTGCTAAGCACCTGAACTATATCACATTTAGTTTTCCCAACAGTCTCCTGAGAGGAGTATAATTAAGCTCACAGGTGGGTGGCTGTAAAGGTTTAGTAAAATTAACAGCTTGCAAGTAGGATATAGTATATAGTTCCGAACTGCACCTTGGTTCATCTAATTATGAATCTCATTTTCTCAAACATTATCACATTGTTACATGACTCTGGATGGTACTTTAAGTGAAGACAAAAGCAGAGAAAAATATCATTTAAGTTATCAGTGCAGTACTGAATGCTTCAAACCCCCCCATATAAAATTTTTGAATTACAATATATTTGGCTTCAAGTCAGAAGAGTAGTGATTACGAAGAAGTGAGTCATCTTTTTTTAAATATTCATAGACATGATGTCCAAATTTGATTCTGCAGCAGATCTAAATTCCAAAAAATACCCCCTCCCAATAACCTCAAACAGCAGTAATTCTAATAGTTTTAAGGTGTAAATACAGATGTATTGTGTGCACTACAAACACATATTGCATTTAGGAGGCATGTTTCTACTCATTCAACAGTTATTTATGAGCACCTACTATGTACATCAGTACACAGTTACTAGGGCTAGAACTCTGCATAATAAAAACATGCTCTCTGTTATAATGATACTTTCAATCCATGAGGCAGAGTAGAATAAGCACACATATCTTAATGACTAAGCATATATATAACTGCAATGAATTGGCACATATTAGATTATAAATAGCAATACAGAGAAGCATGCAAGGAAATCCAGTAAACATTAATATTTATAAACAATATACCCACTCCCCCAAGATCCCTCCTGTGAAGCATAAATTATATTGTATATCATATTTACTCCTTCAAAGAAATTTTGCATCCAGAGAGTTGAAAGTCTAGGAGGTAGGCAGGACAGATATTATAATCAAAATTTTGAAAATTTAATAGATTATACATCACCAACATTTTTACTAGCATGATCTCATTTGGAGCCATTCATTTTGTTAAAGAATGTCTTTCTTCTATGAAACTTTGATTTAAAAGCAAATTATTCATAATTTTAAAGGGAAGTCCAGGTATAAAGTGAATGGCACAGTACACAGATTCTTCTCATTCTCCCTTAATCTACCCCATTAATTTTTCTTTCTCCAATAATCTTTCTCTCTCCAATCTTAAGAACTAAAGTATCTGTCCCAAAGGATAACTGTTGTTCTCTGTGATTGCAACTTAAAGTGGCCATGGGAATCTTCACCATCCAGGACTTCATCTCAAATATAATCCCATTTCTCATTGGTTTTTGGCACACATCTCTCAGTTATGAAATGGTTTAGTCAATGACAATCCTACCTTTAAAAAACAAAGATTTTATTTATTTATTTGAGAGAGACACAGAGAGAGCACAAGCAAGGGGGAGGAGCAGAGGGAGAGGGAGGAGCTGACTCCATGCTGAGCAGGGAACAGGATGTGGGGTTCAATCCCAGGACCCTGGGATCATGACCTGAGCTGAAGGCAGATGTTCAACCGACTGAGCCACTCAGGCGCCCCTGACAATCCCACCTTTGATAAGATAGTTTAAAATAATAAAAGAAGGGCAATTCATTCTTAGAATCAAGCTAGCTAGTTAGAAATGCATTGTAAAATTGGATTTGTGGTATATAAACATGAAAGTATTTATGAAACAAGAAGTCCATAGTTTTCTAAGGAAAAAAAAAGTGTCAAATGCGGCCATCTTCAAAAGAGAATGAGAGTTAGCCAACTCTTACATTTTCAATGAAGAACTAAGTCTAAATTAGTGAAGAATGTTTCCGGTCCTCAAGCTTCCTTAGCTCGTTTTTACCTCACTTGTTCATCACTACAAACCTTATCACAGAAGCCCTCTGTAGGCAGAAGCCTGGGAACATCTGTGGTGTTTCAATACAGTTGTATTGGAGATGCTTAATAATTGCTTAATAGGTAAAAATATTATTATTGAATATAGCCTTTGTCAAAATGCCAGCTGTTTGACAAAGTGCTTGCTAGATAATACTTGGTAGAGGAGAGGCATTTGGGATATATTATTGAATTAATACATTAATTATTTAATACCTGTGGGGATCTGGGTGATGGTTGCTTATCTGGATGCTTGGCATTATGGAGGTATTGATCATGTTTATACTTCTGTCTCCTGCTTCTAATATCGTACCTACAAAGAGCTGTATTAAATAAGTATCTTCTGAGTGAATAAAAAAAAAAAAGTTACCCAATGATAACATAGCCCTTAAGAAAAATCCAAAGGGGGTCGCCTGGTTGGCTCAGTCGGTTGAGTGTCTGCCTTTGGCTCTGGTCATAATACCAGGGTCCTGGCATCAAGTCCCACATCAGCCTCCTTCCTCCCTGGGAAGAATGCTTCTCCCTCTACCTGCTGCTCCCCTGCTTGTGCTCACTCTCTCTATCTCTGACAAATAAATAAATAAAATATTAGTGTATGTGCTGCCAAAGCAAGCACTAAATAAATAAAATCTTAAAAAAAAGAAAAATCCAAAGATTCTTCATTATGTATTTATCTTTATGTAATAATTCAGCAAGTTGCTTAACATCTTTCTGTCCTCCATTTTAATTCTGTAAATTGTAACAACAACAATAATAAAAGTTACTTCATAGAGTTGTTTTGCAAGAAAAATGCAGTTACTTATAAAATGCTTACAATAGTACCTGGTAGATAATGCTCAAAAAGTTAGCTTATACTTTTTCAAATAAGAATTATTTAAAATGAATTAAAAACTCATATTCAGTTGCATGTCACTTTGCTTCTATTTCATGAACACATGAATGCATTTACACAATGAGAAAATTGGGTGTTCAATGATACAGAACCCTCCAAGGTGTTTAGAAGTTGAAAATGAAACATCTGAAGTTTATTCTGATATCTGAGATTTTGGAATTGACATAATGGAACAGTACATTGTAATACTTCTTGGTTACTGCTGATCTTAAAAATCCCAATCTTCTTGACTTCATTTTGGGTTAATCAAGTGTAGAATGTTGTCAATGGACAGCAAATGTATGCTCTTGCATCACCGATTTCTGAAGATGAAAGACCAACAATCCATGACAGTTCCAGGGTGGTCAAGTTCACAAGCCAGCTCAGTATACTGTGTAGGATAATCTGAAAGCAGATCTAGTTTTTCTCCTCCTCCTCTTCTCCGCCTCCTCCTTCTTCTTCCTCCTCCTCCTCCCCTCTGTCTCCCCTCCTTGTCCTCCTCCCCATCTCCTCCTCCTCCTCCTCTTTTTCTTCTTCATCTTCTTGGAAGAAATATTTAACAGTCTCTCAAAATGATTAAAAAATAAGACATATGCAAATGTATATGACCTGACTTTTACAGCTTTCATAATATTAATGAGTGAAAAATAATTAGATATCTTTTAAAAGATATCAGAAGGAGGAGATGCACTGAAGCTTTTCATTAATGTCTTGCAAATTAAATTCATCTTTTAAATTTTATTCATGGGATTCCAGAAACTGAGTCATTAAATTGTATTGTTATCATTAAAAACATAACCCACATAACTTCAAATGGCCTACGAATAAACCAAAATATAAATTCACTGGAATTTACCTGAAGGAATTAAAACTATATAAAATGTTAAAGTTTTTGATCAGTTTAGATAAACATGTAAATTTAAAAATCTATATATGAATGATAGATATGCTTTCTTTTAAATATTGATAAAAATATATGCTATATGAGAGCTAAGAAGCAGATATGCCATTTTAAAAACATTCACTTAATAACTGAACATGTTCTTACAATTGTGACATGATCTTATTACATAACATGGCATTTTAAAAAGTTGTTTTTCAAGAGTTTTTCAACTCTTTAGTGTCAGTCTACTTGTCTATTTTGTTATCTACTAAATAAATATTTCATGTTAGAAGAATTTTACTGTGTAGGGAATATGAACTTATACCAGGATATTAAATGGGGGCTGGTGAGAACATTGAGAAGAAATGAATTATCAATGCCATCATTTTTTTTCCTAATAAGAAATTAAAGTGACTTAATGTTCTCTTGTTATTTATTTAAACTTTGCTCCCCAATTGGACTGTTAAACATTCTAGGGTAATTATCTATTTCCTATATCCCATTGTAGCCAAGTAGCGATAGTAACATTATAATTGCTTTATAGTTTTTATTTATTTATTTACTTGAGAGACAGCACCCACCCATGGAGTGGGGAGGGGGCACAGGGAGGAACAGAAGGAGAGGGAATCTCAAGCAGCCTTGGTTGTGAGCTGAAAAGGAGGTGGGTCTAGATCTCATGACCTTGAGATCATGACTCTGAGATCATGAACTGAGCCAAAATCAAGAGTAGGAGATTTAAACGACTGAGCCTCCCAGGTGTCCTTGTAGTTGTTTTAAACTGTTAATTCTCAATCATCATAACCAATTGGTGGTGTTTGAGAATTATGGGCTAGTATTATTGGGACAATCCACTCTAGTCCTGGATGGTTTCGATTTTTTAAGGGTTGTCTTATTTCAAATTTTCTGCCCTCTTATGTAACTATCAGAGTGCTTTTTTTTTTTTTAAGATTGTATTCACCTATTTGAAATACAGAGAGCAAGAGTGAATGAGAGAGAGAGAGAGAAAATGAATGGGGGAGGTGACAGAGGGAGAGGGAAAAGCAGACTCCCTGCCGAACAGGGAGCCTGACATGGGGCTTGGTCCCATGACCCTGGGATCATGATCTGAGCCAAAGACAGACACGCAACAGACTGAGCCACTCAGGTGCCCCACTATCACAGCATGTCACTCTCCTAACAGTATTTAAAAATTTTATGTAGTGACTACTAACAGTATATAAATAACTATAATTAAAACTTAATT